GCAAACATATGAGCAATAGTCTAAACTCCTAATATCCCCCTTAATAACGCCTATAGTACTCCCCTGTAGAATCCGCTATATAACCCCCTTTTAAGGAGTTTAGACTACAACTCATATTGGCGTTCAAGGTCTACAACCTGCAGGCTGATGAAAGCGAACATATCGAACACCTTGCCTTGAACCCAAAGCTGGTCAACGTCATGGCAAGGAACCCCCAAAGGATGATCCTTAAACCCTACCTGAACCCCAAAAGCATGTAAAACAAGGGCCTTTGGGGCTGTTTTAAAGAGATTGTGGGCTTTGATTTTACATGCTTTTGGGGCCCAGGTAAACCCTAAATCCTGACTTTTTTTGTGGGGGGGGTCCAGGTAGAGCTGGTTTAACTCAAGCTCAAAGTATCCCGCGCTTCCAAACCCACACTGTCAGATCGTAAGAAGTTTGCCGCCAAGCCCAGAACCCTAAGACCCTAAACTCTAGGGTGTAGGGTGTAGGGAAGTAGGCTTGAGGGGATTGGTTTGGGCGTTTAGGGTTTAGGGTCCCCAAGCCATAGACCTTAACCCGTAAACCGTCTTGCTGAATTCTCGGCAGCTTTTGCTCGAAGGAGACGCGGCCGGCTGTCGACTCGCCAACGGAGAAGCCGAAGGAGGGAACCAAGGATGTCTGGTTTTGGTTCTAGGCTTTCGGGGTCTAGGGAGTAGGGTTTAGGGTTAGGGGTTTAGGGTTTAGTTGTGGGTTTAAGATTTAAGGCTTCTACAGGTTTAGGGTTTAGGGAGAAGGAAACCAGGATTGCTTTCCACCTGCATGCTGGCCATTAGGGGGTTATAGGTACTATCATACCTTAGGTACGACTACAAGGGCGTGTATTGAGTTCATTTAGGGAGCAAATGCTTTTAGAGTTGTAGGGTGGGCTGAGCACTTGAGATGTTGAGATTTTGGTGTATGGAATCTGAGTTTGGACGCTTGTTGCACGTGTTTGCCTCGTGTTTTGCGTCCTCCGTTTTTTGTTTATGCCAATTTGCTTCTTTGACACTATTTGGGAGTTGGAGTTGCTGGCGTCAACAGTTCTGAGGTTCCGTGTAACACCTGAATTTTGCAGTTGAAATATATTTGAGTCTGGGACATTTTTGTGGAAGGACTAGGAAGATCAGTTAGGCGGCAAGAAACGGAGCACGGCACAACCGTTTTCGGACGCTGCAGCTGCAACCCCGAAGCCCAAGAAGTCTGAAGTGTACAACAAAGACCGTGGAAACCCCAAAGCCAGAACTTTGAATTATTACATCCTCAACCCTAACGGTCAAAAGCTTGATGAAGTACATGTCAAGAAACACTGCAGCCCCGTTTCAAGAGCAAGCATGAGAAGTCTTCAACGTATTTCTTTGCTAGGGATAGAGCGACCGTTGTATAGGACATCTACCGAAGACCTCATGTAACACATCAGAAACGGGTCACTATCCTTACATTAAGGAAGTTGCATCTGGTTGGTTCAGGAACATCCACAGCTCAAGCCTCCCTAGGCACCGAAGCAATATGCATGTTCTCTCGGGCTGTAGCACGTTCTTTCAGGGAGTCCTTGGCAGAGATTCGAGACGGCCACTAATCTGCGTATGCAGGCTTGAACTGTGCCAGCCTCACCTGTTCAAAGTGAGGAGAGTCCCAGGAACTCCTGCATGTTCCAATTTGTTCGCAAATCCTTGCTTCAGGACGGGGTCGGAATAGATCCAGTTGCTTAGCTAGGAATGCAGGAATGGATCCTAATAGAAGTCCTTATTTCAGCAATTATAGTAGTTTCCATTTCCTTGTCCATCCTTCATTCCCAGCTAACCAAAGGTATGGCTGTGACATGTTGTTAAAACACACCATTCCTCCAGCCGCTATATTGTGTTTATCGAGCGGTATGGCCCATGCGGATTAGGTGGAGGTTTACAAGGGCTATGCAGCTATATAGGGTATATAGAGACCAGTTCCCATTATTTAGGCAACTGGAGCCCTAGGCTTCTTCAGGCTTCTTCTCCCGCGAGGCACCAGCGGCAGCGCCAGCGGCAGCGCCAGCAGCAAACTTGCCTGCTGCAAGTCGCACATCCGGCACCCAGGCCCTCTACTTCAGGGTTGAGGATTTGGAGGATTGTCAAAATTATGGTCCCTTTTTGTGTCCCTATTATAGTACGGGGCCTAATACGGGGCCTAATTTAGGGGACCCAAAAAGGGACCATAATTTTGACAATCTCCCATTTAGGTTCACTGGACCCTCCACCCTGGATTTATCCTGATACTTGCTACTTCAGGGTGGAGGATTTGGGTTCACTGTACCCTCCACCCTTAACTCCAGACTTTGGATTTACCCTGATACTTGGACAAGGCTGGTACTTGCTTTCCTCGAGTTTAGGGATTGAGGGCTAAGGATCCGAGTTTTGAGGTCTGTGGATTTCTCAGTTGCAGGCTTAGGGTACCTAAACCCCAAAAGTAGGTAAGATAATAGCCCAAAATTTTTGAAAATAGACCCAAAAGACTTTCATTTCACATACATTTGGGGTTCAGGTACAGGCCTCCCCATGGTTTGGGGCTTACATGCCTCATGGCAGCAATCAAAGCAATCCCTGCGTAGTCTTGAAACCTTTTGGGGTATTTAGACCCCTAGGGTTTAGGGTCGCTGAGGGTGTAGGGTTTAGGACCATACTTGTTCCAGTTGCCCTGTTTTGGGCAGGTGAGCTTTGATCCCTGAACCCTGCACCCAAAACCTGAGACTATCAACCCTAAAGCCCTAGAATTTAACCCTCAACCCTAAGCCCAAAATCCCTGACCCCCAGCCCTAAGTGCTGGACCCTAAAAACTCAACCCTACACCTCCGCACCAAAACCCTGAACTCCTAACACAAAACCTTCAACCCTAAAAACTCAAGCCTAGATCCCCACACCTAAACCTAAACCCTGAACCCTCAACTCTACACCTGCAAAGTCAAACCTCTACACCCTCAACCTGAACCCCGAAATACTAAACCTTAAGCCAGCCGCTAGGAGCTCAGAGTCTTTGGCACTAGGGTTTGGGGGGTCACCCTCGTCCAAACTAGGGCTTGGGGTTTCCAAATTAAGATGGAACGCAATAATAGAAAGTGTAGCCTTTCAGATTTAGGATTTAGGGTTACCATGGTGGAGAATCAAACGGACAAGAATATGGACAATTACACAGACCAGGTGAAGATGAGGTGGTTTGTAGTGGTATCCAAAAAGTAGCGGTCCTTCTGGGGGTCGCTGTAAGAGGGACTATACTGTATTGGGGTCATCTAGGGGCACTTTAAGCTTTTGGACAATACCACATGGCCCTCTTGCGCAGGCCGGCAGTCTACAAATGGCTTCCACTAAACCCTAAACCGTGGGAATTGCATTTTTCAACCCTACCTGGACACCACGAGTAGGTAAAGTCATGACCCAAAGGCCTTAGTGGGCATCAAAAACACAATTCTCCATATTTCGGGGGCCCAGGAGCTTCCCTGTTTTCCAGCCCTTAACCCTAAACCCCTTAAACCGCCTACAACCCCTAAGCCCCCTAAACCCCCGGAACAGCCTAAACCCCCTAAACCCCCACTAAACCGTAAAGCCCTGGAAGAAAGCCATCGGCTTTCCATGTTTTAGCGTCCAGGGTTTAGGGTTTGGGGCTTAGGGTGTATGGTTTTGGGTTTAGGATTCGGGGTTTAGGGGTTTAGGGTTTTAGGGTTGAGGATTTAGGAATTAGGAGTTTAGTTTGGGGTTTAGGGGTTCTCTTGCCAGCGAATGCTGGCGGTGGTTGGCTTCAGCTTGCAACCTCAAGCCTTGCGCACCAAAACGAGGGGATTCCTGAAATTAGAGGTGCCTTGAAGGGGTTTAAAGGGTTTATTAGGAGTATCTAGGGATAATATAGGTTTCAGAGTTTTAGGGTTTGCCCAAATTAGGGGGTACCTTTTTTATTTGGGTCCCCATATGATATGGAGTATGATATTTTGGGGGTCTATATTGTGGCCCCACGATATTAGGAAGCCCCACAAAACAGCAGCCTCGCCCCAAGCAAAGATCGAAACCCCAGAAAGACGAACGCACTTCTAGGGGGTCAGGGTTTAGGGTTTAGGGCCTTTAGGGTTTAGGGCACAGCACCTACGTAGATTGTTTTCAGATAAGTCTGGGGCAGAGTAGGACAAACTTGTGCAGATGCTCTGCCAAGTGGTAAGTGGCTTGTTGGCTGTTAGTGGAGAATGAAGGCATGGAAAAGAAGATGGGGACCCTAAACCTGAAGTATTACGTGAGTACAGTCCCCCTTAAGTAGATAGAATATGGGGTATATGGGGATCTTATTATAATATACCCAACGCCCATATTCCATCTACTTAAGGGGGACTAGAGGGTTTAGGCTTTACGGAATAGTTGTCTTTTTGGCTAGGTATTGGGCCATTTCCAGATAAACTCTAAACCCTTAAACTTCACCCAAATCTTATATTCAAAAGTATGTCCCTACATGGCCGCTACATAACCCTTGCACAATCCCTATATAATCAGAATCTAAACCCTACATACTAAACCCTAAACCTTACATCCTAAACCCTAAGCACTACACCTCGAAATTATGAAGCCTTCATACCCTAAACCCTGCACCTTAAACCCTAAACCCTAAATCCCAAAACCCTAAACCCAAATCCTGAACC